TACAGTAGAACCTCGATTATCTAAAATATCTGTGAATCTGTTTTTACTAATTCACAGATATTTTTATTAGTCATACCATATAATGTTCAATCAGTCAGTTATATGTTTTTTGAACTTGCTAATTCCAATAACATTATATAACACACATTTAAATAGTTTAAACACACTATAAAAATTTCAGTTATTATAATCAGAATTTAGTTATATTATCATCATTATAAAGAAAATAGGCATTTTTAATCTGTCTTTTCATGTGACTGATAACATGCAATTATCATCAGTTACTGATATCTGTTTTAACCAGTGCTTTAAATGTTAAGGCTGACTGTAACCTCTGTGGTTATGCACATGATTTCCAGCAGACAGCATTAAAAATGTAATTCTTTCTTTTATGGGAAAATCCTTTTCCAAATCTCTTGAAAATGGAAGTAGATAGAACCAAACAGTATTTTGGATTAGAATCCTTTTAATTCTTCTATTAGCATACAGTTTAAAATTTTGAAAATCAAATTCGTTTTTTTATAAATTTTTTTATAAATTTCCTACAATTTTAAAAATTCATAAAAACTGTTGGTTCTATCTACTTCAATTTTCAAGAATTTTAGGATAAGATTTTCCCATATAAAAAGAATTATGTTTTTTATGACTTCTGGTGGAGATTGCATGCTTAACCAAAAAAATTATAATAAGTTTTAGATATTAATCCTTTTAAACAAGAGTGCAAAAAGTACTGCTGCTATTAACTCCTATATATGCTTAACAATTTTCATTAACTGGATTTCATAAATTTTTACCAAATCCAACATCTGTTGATATCAACCACCAGTGGCTATTAGTCTAGTGTTGTCAAGTTGGAGTTATAGTCACCAGAATTGAATGTTTTAGAGCAAAGTTGGAGTCAGAATTGGTAAAATTTTTATGACTAGTGACTCCAACCTTGAATTTTACTATTGGTAAAATGTAAAGTATGAAAAATATTTTAAAATTAATTCCTAAAGATATTTCTTAGAAACAGACACTTCAATAAGTTTAGATATCAAAAAGACTTATTTCCAAAATTCATAATTTAAAATCTACTATATATTTGTTAAATCATTATTTTTTGATTTGATTTTGCATTTTATTGTATTTAATTTTTTTATTTAAAATGTTTAAATTTAAATCAATTTTTGATAATTAACTAATAAAAGTGAAGTTCCTTTGGCTGATTAAAATGTAAAATGTTTCTTTATGTACTCAAAAGCTTTGGCAATATAAATTCATTATATCAATTTTTTGATTTTCACCATAAATTTTACTACTAATTTTAGTAGTAGAGAAATTTCAGATAAAAATATTCAGATATTCAGAGATATCTTTCTTATAATAGGAATACTAGTGTGACAGTATAAAAAAGGAAAAGTGGGTGTTGGAGTTGCACATTTCAAGTTTGCCAGTTGGAGTCAGACTATTTGTTTACTGACTCCACCATGCTGGCTGTTACCTCTAATTTCTCCAACCCTCCACATTAAATATCCATCTATGATAGATGCACATAGATGTTATTTTTTAATTAACATTTGTATGCCCAATAAAAATTGAGTACACAAATGAGTTGCATTCCTGTCTATTAAAACTGGCAAAAATTCTAAATAAAAAAAGATTTCATAAGCCAAATTTTTCAAACTGAAATAGAAAAATCATAATCATGTATAGAAAAATAACAATCTCATCACTAATAATTAACATTATTTGTTACACTAGAATTAATACTCATTGTTATATTCAAAATATAAAAATTGCTTAATTAAGAGTTTTTACTGAACATACATCTTACAGGTTACCAAAATTCAACCAAAAGAGGCCCAAACAGAATATGACATGGAATTGATGAATACTCTGGCTCAAAGAAAGAGAATTTGAATCAGAAAGTGTATCTGGTTGCAAAACAAAGCCAAAGCAAGAAAAAGCAATACAGCCACAAAAAGTGGAACTAATAATGCTGAAGAAAGAGAAAAAGAAAGAAATAACTGTATTCAAAGTGACTTCAATAAACTCTTGTATACATCATAATTGGTCATTTTGTATAAATATTCATATTTATATTTTTCCATACCATTTAGTACAAAAAAGTCACTATGAGAAGATTATTTTGAAACAATATCAAAGATACTTAACATACCTTTAAAATTTTCTATTTCTTCACATTTATATGTATTTTTGATATGCAAAATTTTTTTCAATTTTGTGATCAAAATAACATCAGGTAAAAAATCATACTGGAGAGGATGTTTTGATTTGTAACTAAATAATAGAAAAGTATAAAATTTATTTAATAACATTTAAATAGACTTTAGAATACATAAAAATATAAAACAATGTTTTCACATAACACTCAAAATCTTTAAAATATAACAAATGAATTTTAAATATTTTCTAAAACTGTATTTATGATATTCTATAGTAGAATTGCCATTAAAAACTAATTAAAAATCTATATATGTTTCTTTCTTAAAACTTAAAAAACCTTTCAAATGATGACTACTCTGGTATGTTTTGAAAGATTTGTGAACTACACAAGAAATAATTCTAAATTCAATTTTTTCCAGTCTATGTTATACAACAAAATTAAAATATGGATATTGTAGCAATTCCTTGTTCATTAATATGCATCTTATTGCATATTAATGAACAAGGAATTGCAAATATTAAAAAATGAGAAATATTGCAAATATTTCTCATTTTTCAAATTTCTTAATATAAAAGAAATTTTGTTCAAATTTATGATTGATAGTATTAAAATTTTTTAATAATATAAATTTATAGCAATTCCATAGAAAAATATTATTCTTTATTTTTATGTTATGATTGATGGTGGAAATAATCAAATTTTTGAAATTTTTCAGAAATGAAATCTATCAGTCATGACTAATTTGCATAAAACTGTCTTCGAGATTTTTACAGATATCAACTGCTCCTGAATATTTCAAACTACATTTCAGTTCTATAAAATTAAAAAGATTTCAGTTATTTAATGTTTTATTATTTTATATGAACTAATTCTGACCACACTGGCACCATTATAAAAAAATTTCACATCATTATACCATTATATTATAATTCACATTCACTTATGTTAAATATTGCTGGTTGAGCCTGTTGAAGGTAATAATTTACATTTTGATAGCTTTTATTTTATTTTCTTACATTTAACTTTTATTTTTATTTTAAATTTGGAGTTCTACTATGGTATGTTGCCTATTTCATTTTGGAATGTTAAACTACAACAAATTTTTCTATTTGAATGTTATGTTCTATTTTATTGGTAAGGTATATTTTATATTTGAATCTAATTTGATCATGTGTATTTGCAACTGCCATTCTTTGTTTGAATGTAGTAATGTAAGCTAATGATCTGAAAAGAGATTGAAAACATTTCTATTAATAAATAGTATTTGGCTAAGCAGTTTTGTTATATTTTCTATACAGTAGAACCCCTCTAGTCTGCCCTCGGCTAGTCCGTCACTCCGGTTAATCCGACCGTGGTCAGAGTCGAGAAACTTGTCCTGACTCGTCGGTGACTCACCGTCCTTGGCGTTTTTCTGTGTTCGTTACAATATATGTTTTACATTGTGTGTACATGTACAGTTTTGTATGTGTTTTCAACATGTCAGGAGTGAAACGTAAACACGTTACTCTTTCATTAAATGAAAAATTAGCAGTGCTACAAAGACTGGACAAAGGGGAAGATTGTTTATTTTACTTTTTTCTGATAATCCGACCTTTTTTGCATTCTGACCAGTGGTGATATTCGAAATATTTAACAAAGGGTTCGCTAACAGAAACTTTTTCCTTAACCTAACCCCAAGCCCGAGATATCTCGGGCAAGTTACATAGCGTTACATAAAACTCGGGCGTTTGGTCCCCCTAAAAGTTTTGTTTTTTTGGCTTTTTGGAATGTTTTTTAAGTCTCCAAATTTTTTCAAAAATTTTTTCCCGCGCGNAAAAAAAAAAAAAAAAAAAAAAAAAAAAAAAAAAAAAAAAAAAAAAAAAAAAAAAAAAAAAAAAAAATACATATATATATATCTTTTATTTTCTCGCGCGCGTGGGATTGTGGGATCTCTCTTATACTGGGGTCGTATTCTGGTCACCGGCTTGTCTCTCACAAGCTGGTCGCTGATTGGCTAATCCAAATCAGAGACCGTCTTGTGAGAGACAAGAGACGGTGACCAGAATACGACCCCTGGATCTAGTTTCAAGAACTCTCTTGAGTCGACCGCGATTGAACCTCGTTTCAATCGACCGTTTCAATCTCCCTCCCTCGACCGTTTCAATCTTGATTGAAACTGTCAAGGGAGGTCACACCAAGGCGAATGGGGTATAAGGCTCTAGTTTAGTAGTGTTACAGAGTATAATACATATATTTTAATATATTTTTTAAAAGGAACAAAACCACTGAGAAATGTTACATGTGTTTAATTAAAAAAGGTTTGGAAAACTTTGAAAATGTTAACAACGGGTTCAGAAAACTTTGAAAATGGTAACAACGGGTTCGGCCGAACCTGTGCGAACCCGCTGAATATCACCACTGGTTTTGGCCATACCCCCAGTCCCAAAGGTGACAGATTAGAAGGGTTCTACTGTATTAGCATTAAACAATTAAAGATATCAACTATTTTCAATCTTCACAAATATATTAAATCAGTAAAAGTTTACATATGTAGTCACAATGGTGGCACTTCCAGTTGCCATCTTGTTTGTGAATGCAATGCCTACAAACAAGATGGCAACTAGTGCAGCTACTTACTACACTGGCATTTAAAGAAATAATCTTTCACTGACTGTTGACATATTTCTAATTCCTTTTCTCCAATTTATTCAGTAAAAACATGGTTCAGACAATTCTATCATAACTTTGTCCTTTTCAATTGTAGAAACTTTTTCTACATTTTTTACACACATCTCTTATGATTTTCAGATTTATTTGGCACTTACTTTCAGGACTGAAGTTACAATATCTGGCTCTTTCCAAACTAAAACATATCTCACTCCTGGATAAAACTTACTTGTATGCTGAACAAACAGGTAGAACCTTTTCCTAGTTTTTTTCATTTTGCTCACAACAATCTCATCAACCTTACCAAGTTCATCCAATTTTTGTTCCAGTAAAATTAGATGATGAAACAATCATAATGTGTCGTATGAAATTTGCCCAGTCAACAACTGTTCGACTATTCATGCCCACAGCCAAACAGGTGACACTCAACATGCATTCTATGCAAATTAGATGCCAAATAAATGAAAAAGTAGTTCCCCAAGAAATTTTCCCAAATTTATGTTAAAAAGTTACTTCAAATGACAAACTGTTCATCTTGCATTTATTATATCTAAAAGAAACAGAATCACAATCCTTTTGATAATTTAATTTACAATGACCATCACATTTCGAACAAACTGCATCTGCAGGTTGCATACCGAACTTTATGGCAAATATACCAACTGATGTATTTCTCTTGTCACAATTAAATTCAGAATAGTCTGATACTATAAAATGAAAAAATCCCTTGAAGCACACTTTTGCCAAGCAAATTGTTGATGTTTTCCAAGTTCTGCCATTACAACAATAAATGACAAAATATGAATTGTAAACTTTCAGAAAAAAAAATGGTTCACAACAATACACAACTTTTTGAACCTAAAAATTTAAACTACTCTTAACACAGTTATAAAATGTTAGGAAATTATTCTAGTACTGAAATGACATTAGAAAACTTGTAAACTAAAGACAATGACACCTAAATTAACTTCAAAACACACATTGTTGAGATTCTGGAAGTGCCACCATTGGGACTGCCTAAGTAAACTTCTACCATTAAATCTCATACTATATGTATATTCAGAAAATTAAACTATTATTACAGACAAAACAGTGAAATAATTTTAGCTTTAATTTTAATTTGAATTAAGTATTTTCAGTTTACTAAATTTTATTTCTGAATTTTTGGCTTTTATGTAGGATAGTTACACTAGTGAATGACCGATTAAGCACCTTGATAAAGAGATTTCTATATAATCACTTAACAAACAGACATTTAACATAAGTAATGGTCATTGCTGGTTACCAAGAACTTGCACTACTCATTCAAAGAATGAATTTTTAATTTTCTGTAATATTTATTAAATTAGTGACATAATGCTTTTAAAATTTAAAAATCACTCAGTGAATGACCATATGGCTCTCATAAGATCTCATAAGATCTCAGCTGGTCTCAGTGAATGACCACAAATGAGTAATAATGAATAATTAGAGTTCTAGGATACTATATGCAATTTTATACCATTGTATATTATATGTGTGTTGGCAATTTTATGTAATTCAGTCATGTAATTTCAGATTAAGACATTGGAATAAAAATTTTAATTTTTAGAAACGGTCTTTAATTCAAAAATATATGTACAATGTTATAGAAATTATCAGTTTGATAATCCATACAAAAATGTGTTTCATAAATAAGCAATATTGTAATAACAATCAGATAAATTTAGAAAATTATTATCAGATGCAATGGCTTCCTTGAAATCTGATAGAAAATGAGATTCCACTTAATTTGTTATCATTTGCAGTGCACATTTATATATTTCTCCATAATTAATTGATAAATCAGGTTCATTTTCAGAAAGCAATTCATTACACCTAACAGAAATACAATTTGATTAATCTACTCTACTGGGATCAAAAAGAAACAAACCACATGTTTCAAACCCATGCTGAATTGTTTCCGATTTCAAGGCTTTCTTGTAAGCTTCAAATAATAAAGCTGCAAAGTTTAGTTTTGTAAACTGATTTTGATGATTGTTGTTTGTATTTTCTGACATTTCTCCTCTGACATTTAAGTGGTCAAAAAATTGCAAAATCACAAGACTGGATAATATGAGTTGCATTTGGCAACAAACAAAAAAGGAGAATTATTTTCTCAACACAAAAGTTATAGTTTTTCATTTATAGGGGATTTATGTCCATCAAGAAGCAACAATACAGGACACTGAATATTCTTATCCAGAAGGCAGGATAAAAGTCCTTTGCAACATATTCATAGAATATGGCACTTATCATCCATCCTGAATCACTTTTTCTGCGGATTTACTGACTGGCCACTTGCAGAAAAATTACACAATACTGTGATACATTGTTTTTCTGGTCCTGATGCAATGTTATAAAAGTTCTTATATGCTTTAGGTCCAGAAGTTTGCCAGTTTTTGAACAAAACAACATCCCTGTTTCATTTGCATTGACGATATGAAAAAAATTTTGCAGAATATCACTTGCATGTTCTTCTCTCAAATAATTATTTAATTCTTAAAACCAATTCCTTATAATCTCTTCTGAAACTGCTGCATGAGCTTTGGATATCACTTCTGTATTCTTTGCTGCTACATTAAGATGTCTTTTTAGAAAAAGCATTAGCCATTTTTTCCTGGGCAATCATCATTACATGGGTTCTTTCGTTTCATATCTTTCATAACTTTCTGAATTGCATCTTTTACTTCATCAGGATGCATGATAAACCCAATTTGGCTTTCCCAATAATTCATTTTTCCAACCTGTTTTCCTCTGTTTTAGTTAATATTGCCCATTTTTCACTCCATTGGTACCTTTCCATGTAATTTGTTTATTAAAATTTCTTTTTGAATGTTACATTTTTTGCTAGCTTTATTAGCACTCATTTTATTTTCACGTGCTGCTTCTACCTACAGCTGCGTATAAATCTCCTTCACTATATTGAAAATGTCCATAGGCTTTTTTCTTTTTATTTATATCATCTGCCATTTTGAATTTATCTAAATAAAAATTAATTCAAATGTCTGTAATCATTTATCTCAAACCATTTTAATTTGCAGCAAAGAATGACCACATAACTTTGAACCATTTACTCATTTACTGGTACAAGAAGGTTTTTTTGGTCATTCACTCATACATTAGTATAAAACAGCACTCACAAATTTTGAATTTTGTGCTCAGAAATGAAAATAACCCATATTACTTTATCATCATTAAATGACCAAAGTGTTCCTTCACTGGAGAAGAATCACTTTTCAGATCCAGTAAGTGACTACCCCCTTATCTACACACCTTTAAAGGTTAGAATTAATTTTTGCATCCTAACCATACTTTAAATATCTACAAAACTATTTCTTTATTCAATGCTTTGGAAAATCAATAAATAATTATTTTAAAATGCTGCTATATGAATTCTTGCCACAATTCCTACCTTATTACAATGCAAGCAAGATTACACCTTACACACATATCTCAAGAAAGCTGCCATATTTCAAACACTATCACGCGTTTCTGAATGACCAGTGAAAGAATATTTTAAAATGTAGCTGATTTTCAGTAATTCAGTACTTCTGATTAGTTTTTGTTGCTGTGGTGCTTATTTTAAGCAAATTTCTGACAATATGGTCATTCACTAGTGCAACTACCCTAGTGTGAGGATGAGGAGTTGACACCAGTATGGGGAGGTGCTGACCTTTCAGTTAAAGGTGAACACATGCGCTTTGCCCGCAAATATCGTAAGGATGATGTGAGAAAGCCTTTTCCATATGAAGGTAATGGTTTGCAGGACGCAGAGAGACTCACACAGAGACCGTATTTACAAATTTAACACGTTTATTTGTATGGAAAATCATGCTTATAATGAGTTACATGTGTCTGGTCAAAAGGCGTCCATCACTGAAGAAGGGCTCGCCGGATTGTCCGTTTTCCGATGATGTAGGTCGGCACAGATAAAAAGAAGGAGAGAGTCTGCTTCCTATTGGTCATAGGTAGAGGCTTGAAGGTTGGAGGGATGGAAAAATTGGCACTGGGAAGTCGAGTCCCGGTAACTTCCATCCGCTTCTTGGGAGATTTCTGGGTCCTCTGGATTATTCCAGATCCGTTCTCTGAAATCATCGTTCCCGATCTCCAGCTTGCAATCTCCCCATGTCCTTGGGATTTCGGGCTTTTATAACCTTTTTCTTTCCAAAATCCCGAGATTATGGTTGGTCCGAATGCGGGTACCCTTCGATTTTATTGATTCCTGGTCTATTGCCAGGGACGTGATTCGGGATGCGGGGTTGCTGAACACCCACATCTGGGCCTTTCACCTCCGAAGTCAGGTCAAGCCCTTTCCCAGATGATGGACCCATAAATTCTACCTAATGTCTATTTTTCTGTCCCGGTGAAGATGCAAATCTCCAAGCCGCCACCCCCTCTACAGGAGTGTCAGCAGGTCCCGTTTTGAACTCTCTGTAAGGTGACCGTCCAAAGTTACCCCAGCAGACGATCCCTCTCTCGTTTTCACGATTGGTGATCGCAGATCTGTCAATTAGGTTTGGAATGCGACAATTATATCATCTTGCACCCCATTCCTTGGTCACACCAGTCCTATTCACGTAATAAGTCACCGATATATTGACTTTAGCTCGACAGCCAGTTTCCGTCCAGGGGTGTGGTCCCGGCCTCACACTAGTTAATTAATTTGAGAAGTTCATCATAATATAAAACATATGTTTCAAGATTAATATCTATTAAAAGAATAGATATTATTTTTCTACTATTCTAAATGTTAATATTAGCTCAATACTTTATATTCTATCAGATTAAAGTCAGAGCTTTATTGTAAAAGAGCTTCCTGAATATGAAATGCATTCTGCACATTCTGCAAGCATTTATATTTGTAAAAGTTCAAAATTTACTATAACTAAGTAATTACTTATTACTTTAAAATTAATATAAGTAATCAAAAATGCATATACATAATTACTACATACCTTTCAGGAAGATATCTGTATAAATGAGCAAAACAATAAGCAATTCTCCAATCTCCTAATTGCAAGAGAAACCAAATTGTTTCATTCCATAATCCAACAATTAATAACAATTCTAATATAGCACTTGGTGTTAAAATGTTAAAAAGTCTCTGGTTTGAAATTTGATTTGTGATATCAACTTGATTAATGATATGATAATTACCACCTGAAAAATTCATAAATATGTAATGAATATATATTATTATGATATAAATACTTAATAGCTATTTATTTATCAAATATTGTTCATATTTAAGTAAAGTTTCTCTTATCTATCTGAGAATACATAACAATAAAACAAAATTTTTTTATAAATAAAACAAAGTATAATTTTATTCAACATCCAGAATTATAAGTGAAGATTGAAATGGTGTATATATGTCTGAATATCTATTAATATATCTTATATAAGCTGTTTTGGCCTTGCTCACTCACTATTAATTGACCTGAAATATTTAAGTAGAAATAGATTTCTTATACTTATAGGAAATTCAAATTGTAGAGAGTTATGAACCATGTTTAATTTAAAAAAACTTAAATTTTAAAAGTACTAAAAGAAAATTGTCAAATTAAAAGAAAGTTATAAAGTTATTATTCTTTAGATTCTTAAAACAGACGGCATTTACAAAAGTTGATATAAAGAATCTATCTTATCTATTCTTTTATATATATACTAGCAGGTAGGCCCGGTGTTGCTCGGGCAAAAGTAACGATAGGGAAGATTAACATTATTACGTTATAGTCAACCTTACCCGTTTTCACAGAATGCAAGAATTGGGTCACCCTGTTTCCAGACTGATTAGAGAATTTTTAGATGGGTCTAAAAATATGTTTGATTTCCCGCAAAAATGAAGCATCTGCATCTTGCACGTCGCTTTCTCTTAACAATTCCATTGTTACTTAAAACTTCCATTGTTACTTAACACTTCCATTGTTGATGGAAGTGTTAAACCTTAATCCTGTCCCTCTCCTCCAGGGGAATTTCGAAAAATCCCTTCTTGGTGTGCGTTTTCGTGACATACCCTAACTGTGTACCAAATTTCAACTTTCAACTCCTAACCGTTTGGGCTCTGTGCTTATTATTATTATTATTATTATCAACTAGTCTCAATTATATATATAGATATGTAACTGTGAAAGACCGATATGTGGCAAATGTTGAGATTCTCTGGTGAATGTCAGCATTCACACAGTCATTTCATGTATGTAAGAAATAGTGCTAAATATCATTATTTCTCATTTACGCTGGCAAACGTCAATATTCAGCATGCACTGATGGTGAATGTTGAATGAAAATATTTTTTTTACATTAAGTCAAAAATGCAACTTTTTAATATGTCAAAATAGGAGCAAACTTAAGTAACAGCACATGTAAATAAATTGTTGAACTTAAAACAAACAGTACATTCTTAATCAGAAAAGAAAAATAATAAGCAATAGTAAACTTACACATATATTATGTGATTAACGTTATACAATCTTATTTATTGCAACAACTTAAACTGTTATGACACTTTGAATTTCACAAGAGTTCCTTGCTTTTACAACTGTATTTATTTGTGGAACACTTCTTTTTGCAATGACAGCATGTATAGTCTTGCCCTCCACTTTTCAAATTATCTGCAGCCTCTTTTCTCGGCGATATTTCTTGAGAAGAAATCTCATCTATGGGAAGTAACTTTTCTTTACAAATTACAAACTGATTATGGGTATAAAGCTGCTTGAGGGTACCATTTTTGTTTGCTAATTTATAAAAGTTGGAGTCTTCTATTCCAACAACAACCATCAACACATTTCGGGCATCTGTACAGCCGCGGTTGACATCAGGGACTTGTATTCGTACAGTATCACCAATTTGAGCAGAAGGAAATTTTCTTTTTGAGGATATTGTAAGATTTTCATTGCTTACAATAGAAGATTCTCTTTCACGGCCGCTCTTTTTATAGAAATAACTTCGTGTTGTTCAGTCAGTCAGGGCTTGATATGAAGACGTGGTGGGTTGCAGTTCCTCTTCAACATTTTCCTTTGGAATATAGTATTCATTATGGCCACTGCTCAAATTTCCTTCAAAAGTATTAACAATTTCTTCGAGCTGTTCTTTGGTTTCAATATTTGCGATTTGTTTGCCAGGCAAAGATGACGATGCTATGCCTTTTTTTTGGTTAACGCCAAACATGGCTTCATATGGACTTTGGCATATTCCTTCGTGATATGTAGTGTTCTTGGCAAATTGTACAAAGGGCAAACCATTGACCATTTATTTGTATTGTTATCATTCATCCATGCAGTTAACATATTTTGTATATCCTGATTGACCCTTTCAACTATTCTGAGTCTAGACTTCGTGAAGGACAGACGTGTTTTTGCTTCTCTCCTGCAAAATTTGTAAGTTTTTAGTTCCTAAGCCTAGTTTTAGGGTTAGCTCTATTCTTTCTATACTTAGGTATAGGAAAATAGTGTTAAGTTAGGGTTAGGGCAGTGGTTAGGCTTAGCACCGCTAAGCCTAACTTTTTAGCTTAATTTAAATAGAAAGGGTTAGGAGTTTTGAGGCATCCATCTTGGATTTCTCGATAGAACTGTGTTCTGGGAGAAGAAGACAACTGTAGACCACCATCTTCCACCAGTTGAAAAACTACAAATAGTGGCATCCATTTTGTGAGTAACTTTGTCTATTTTTTTGTTTTTGGAAGACCCAATAGTGACCAGTCTTCCCAGCTAGCTGGTCTGCCCGAGGAGACCAAACCTGCCAGCTTTGAAGCAGCTTGAACTGTGTCACCACAGGCCAAGCTTGCTTGGCCATCCACCCATCAGCAAGGACCCTTACTCAACACCTGCCATAGACATCTCTAGTGTGGCTTGGAGCATTGACATGTAGCATCAGTCACCTGATTTTGGTAACTGTGTGGTAGTCTGATCTAGTGTGATCTAGTGGACGACGCACTCCTTCTACACTCTCACCGATTTCTACTTGGTTCTCATCTCTGCAGGTGGACTCTTGGATTTTGCCCCTGCTGCCTACTGAGGAACTCCTGTGGTCACGCTATCCTGCAAGTGTTTAGTGGATCTTGCACACTACAACTTCACAACGCACTATCTCTCCCTCTGATTGCTTCCTCGGTTGAGTATATTTTTTGTACTTTTCTCCCATCTGCCAGCCAGACTTCTTCCCATCTGTGCTGTTAGACAACAGTCTGGCAGTGGTGAGCCACTTGGCATTGTGCCATTGTTTACTCTTACACTCTACACTATACACTCTCCCTGGCTGGTGGCTTACTACTTCGCATAATGAATTCCAACATCATCGAAGGATTTAGGAGTGAAGCTCACCAACTTCTTTAAGGACTACTGTAGTAGCAATTATAACAGTAAACTGGGAGCCAAAGAGCCCCTTTGCCACTTAACTAGAGGATTTGATCCCGGGATCTCGAAAATCGGGATCCCGACCACTTTTCAGTCCCAAAATTTTCGGGATTAAGTTTTCCTAATCCCGAGATTTTCGGGATTGACATCATTTTAAAAAAAGTTGCAAAATAGACTGCATGAAGCGAAACGTTCAGTGCCAGTGCTTTTAACAGAATTGCTTGCCTATCATTTTGATATAAAATACAAGAAATTTTATTCCAAGCAAGCAGCAGAAATTAACCTAGCGGGCTTGCGATGCTTGCTTGTAATAAAACTTCTTGTATTTTCAACTAAAATGATAGGCAAGCAGTTCTCACTGGGTTACTTGGTAATATACTTCATTTTTGTACTTTTGAATTTTCGCGGGCGCCAATCGATTTTCTGGTGCAGTCGAGAGCACTACTCAGTGCGTTTTACCTGTCAATGTGTCAGCCATCTTGTTTTGCCAGTGTAGTTAATATAGACCCGACGCCTCTCGCTTAGGGGGATCGACCTTAGGTGAAAAGGTCACGACCCTCGCCTTGCCCACGATCTGTCAGGATGATGCGAGAAAGTCTTTTTATGTTTCGGGGTAGTGGTTTGCTGGACGCTGAGAGACTCACACAGAGACCGAATTTACAAAATTAACGCGTTTATTTTTAGAAAGACATGCTTACAATGATCGAAACAATCGGGATTGTAGCCTTTACTCCTACAATCCCAATCCGTGTCGACCGGACTGTTTTCTTCCATCCTCCCCGTGTCCTCGAAGCTTATAAGTATTTACTAACGATTCCTCCAACTTCCATCAAACCTAAACGCGTTTTCTCATCAGCTGCATACATGTGCAACAAATTGAGAAGCAGACTTGGTGATGAGACACTGGATGCGTTGTTATTTCTCAGATCATATTTTCGCAATTCAAATTAGAATGTTCCTATTAGATTAGTGTTCTTTATATTTAAGAAAAATGTGACGGATTAATATTATTTTTAAATACTTTTTGCTAAGAAACTTACTTTACTACCTACTTACTAGGTTGTTATATGAAAGTAGTCTATTTAATCGATGTTAAGAGAGATTTTTGTTAATTTTCAAGGTTTATTTGCATAGTTTGTTACATAAAGGTTTTTTCAATTTATGTGAGTTTAAAGAGATGTCAGTGATGCTTAAAAAAGAATAAATTTAACATGAAACAGTGATTTTAAGTGTGGTTAGTCTGACTCTAAGTCTGATTAGTTAGAGTGATTAAATTAACTAAGTGTATACCGTAAAATACATTGATTTTTGTCTAAATTTTGATTTTTGATTTCTGTAAGATTTTCTTATTTTTTATTAACACTCAATACCGAAATAATCCCGGGATCCCGGGATTGAATAAGTATAATCCCGAAATCCCGGGATTAGAAATAAGGACCGGGATCGAATTCCCTACACTTAACCAACCAAAATTATTGATCTGGCTATTGACACCCTCAAAACCAATGGATTAACCAAACCTCTTGAACAGAGGCTTGCCTCTCTTGCTACCAGGGAAGATCTGACAAAGGCAACTGACACAGCAAGTCTCCAATGTACCCAACAAGATATTCTTAAAAAACTCAAGGAGAATGAAGACAAATTATCATCTCGACAGGACACTCCTGCCCCTCCCTCTTTACAGCTCGGTAGTTAAGTTGAGCAAACCAAAAAATAGGACACTTATCAAGCCATCTCCACCAAAGGAAGTTGTTTTGGTCTATAGCAAGGATCAATCCACCAACAGTGACAACTTACGCAAATTGATACAAAGCAAGATTAAACCATCAAACATAAACATAGGTGTTGATTGTATTTGTAGCATTGGAAGTGGAGGACTGGCCATTGAACTGGGACGACATGGTGATGCAGACACCCTGGTGCACTGCATAGATGAATGCTTACCTGACCTCATCACTCACAGACCACGCAAAAGATGGCCTCACATCATACTGTACTTCATTAACAAAGATATCGAGAAGGAAGATCTTCCTGATTTAATTCATTGCCAGAATAGTCAGATTAGTAGTAACTTTACCATAGAGGAATTTAGGCAGCAATTTCATCTGAAATTTACTCTTGGCAAAAAATACACAGCTTACCACAACTGGGTTGCCGAGGTCTCACCAGATCTGAGGAGAATCATTCTAAGCATGGGAAGAGTGAACATCGAATGGACATGATGTAGGACCGTAGACTTCCACCCAGTCAAACAATGCTACAGATGTTGTGGTTATAATCACTTAACCAAAGATTGCCCTCAACAGCAATTTATGTGTAGTCATTGCACTGGTGACCATCCCGAGAGAATACCCAACTCCAACATTGAACCCATCTGTTGCAACTGCAAGAAAGTTAAAGGTATCTCAGACCATAACCATAATGCATGGGACAGCTCTTACCCGTTGTACCAGAGAATCAAGGCCAATATAATTTCACAGACTGATTATGGACCAAATTAGTCAAAACAGTCTTTATTTTTCGCAGCTCAATCTGGGTAGAGGTATCTCTGCCTCCTCCCTTCTTAGCAATAAGGTTATTGATTATGATATTGTACTGGTCCAAGAGCCCTACTGCCGCAGGAACGTGCCTGCCTGTCTGCCCTCCGCCTGCCCTATTATTAAAGGCATGGACCACTATCCCTGGGCCATAACTCTCGTACCCAATACGGACATCTCAATTATGCATCACAAATGCTACAGCAGCCAACACATCATTACTTCTGAGATTCTTCTCAACAACACCAGGATCATCATACTCAACATTTACTTCCCTGGTGATGCAGATTCACGCAGTTACATTGACCGGCTCCAAGATATTATTGACAATTTTCACAACTGCTTTATCGTCATTGCTGGAGATTCGAATGCACACTCGCATGCCTGGGGTGGCAATCGACTTGACGAACGAGGCAAACTTCTGGAAGAACTCTTCACACGCAACAACCTTCTCATAATGAACAATCCCTTCTCTCCTCCAAGCTTTACCTCTCAACGAGTCAGGAGTTGGATTGACATCGCCGCTTGTAGCAGCGGCCTCTTTACCAAGATCACAAATTGGAGGGTCATGGATGAAGATAGTTTGAGTGAACATGTCCTCATCAGCTTTAATCTTATCACTGATGACAACGGGCTTCTCCCTGTCTCTGTCCCTCGTCTCAAATTCTCTCTCAGCAATGCTAACTGGACTGGCATGTAGAAGCACCTTGAAACTAATCTTCATAGCCATTTTTCCGAAGACCCCTATGTCGCCAAGTCTCAGATTGAGCACAACATCACTGTCATCACTGCAGCCTCCATACATTTATCCCCAAACGGAACCTTCGCAAAAGAAGTAACCCTTGGTGGTCCACTGAACTGACTAACCTACACACTACCAACAATCAGCTACATAAAATCTTCCAAAGGTCTTGATATATATACTGTATATTTATTTATTTACCTTTCTCTTCAACTTCTAAAAGTGAAGGAATGCTTTTTATAGTACACAAATAAGGAAGATAGATTTCTTTCTCTGAGAAGTAAGCAGCTATGATTCGAGCAAATGACTTTATCACCTTTCGAACAGCAACATTTTTTATACCATCAAATCCATTTGTAATTTCATGTTGATCTATATTATCTTCTGGCATATCAGACTGATTAATTAGCCCTTTGTATGAAAGCAATTTACAAATGAATTCTATAGACTTCCCTAGTCTTCCATGTAATATCATGCAATAAATAACTCTATGACCATTGAGAGATAACTTTTTTTTGCTGAGATTGTCTTTTAATTCTGTAATTATTATAATAATTTTAAAAATTAAATCAAAGAATAGAAATTAAAAATATTTATCATCTTTCATTTCTCATAATAAATAATAATATTTTAAAAATTATTAAATGTCATTTAATAAATTAATAAAAATTTAAACTTAAAAGAATAAAATATATTTAAAATATTTGAATTAATAATTAATATACCTAAAATAAGAATTGTTTTAATTTGCAAATAGTTTGTATGTAAAAAATTACTTCAATATTCTTTTGGAAATATTTAAATTAATTCTAAGTATTCATTTTAAATTTTGGCACAGCAGAGTTTACAGAGTTTTTGAGCTATTGTAATCAAATTAATCAACCAACATTTTGAAATTTATTTCAACAAATTTTTCAACATTTCAAAATCCATAACTATACGGGTAGGCCTCCTACAACACAGTAGATACGTTCCTTGAAAATACTGCGTTGTGGGAAATCACGTTATAGGAGACACCAACTTAATGCAAAAACTGGGATTCGGTTCTAAAAAGAGAAAAACTTCATGTTTTAATGGCATTTTTTGAATTTTTCAAACCAGCTATTGCTAGTCATGAATTTAACACTGATTTCATCAGCCGACAACTGTCCCATTTTTTTTAAATAATCAAATATTTTTAAGGCTTTGTGTTTAAGTACACTTTTATTTAAAGGCAACCGTTTCTTGTTCATATCTTCTACCCATAATATTAGCGTTTGTTCCATTTTTGTTTTCATTATAGGTGCTCTCAGACGAGCAACATTTTTCGCAAGAATAGATGATCCAGATGCAACTGAATTCCTAATCTTTTCTTCTTATTGCTTAATCGACTGAATAGTTGACTCATTTAAATTAAAATGCCTACCAATATCAGCTATCTGCTCCTGATTTTTAATTCGATCCAAAATTTCTATCTTTGTTTGAAGAGATATATTAATAAATTTCCTTTCTAACAACGGTCCTTTCTTTTCATTCGACATTGTTATAGCTAAAATTTTTTCAAGCAGTTTTGTGGACAATAAAAATCGCAAAAAGTAACTTCCCTTCACTATGTTGTTAAAAATATACACCCAATAGAAGTTTATACTGTATTTTGGACCATTTTTGCGGTCCTACCTATTGAAAGAGTATAAATTATTGAAAATTCAGTGATATATTTGAGTGTTTATGGTAACTGATGCACACTGTCTAGATACTGGTCTTCCCCTGAAACTTTCATGAGAATAACACGTCAATGTGGACAAACAGCCGTTTTTGAGAACATTTAGCTCTGTACACCAAACTGCGGCACATATTACGTGATCCGTTGTGATTTTTCTGTTCGTTTCTAAATATCGTAAACCACGTTGTAGAAGTACCGCGTTGTAAGAAAATTTCTGCATTTTTCCAACCGCGTTGGAGCGAAAACGCGTTGTAAAGGTACCGCGTTGTAGGAGGCCTACCTGTATATCTTTCTAATTATTTCAAAGCTTTTTATCATAACATAATAAAATAATTAACAACTTATTTCAATATAGGCAAATATTTTGAAAAATCTATATTTTTATCATTCATCCTTATTATGAAATGCAAGTTTAGAAAATCCAGCAGTAATTTATGCCATACTGCTTTAATACTTTGGTTTTATATTATAATAACATTTTTCAAATTTGACATTTAAAATAGAAGAATAAATTAGCTTTAAAAAACAACAAAAAGAAAATCACAAACAAGTTTTCCAGATCATTTTTTACATAATAAAGAAACATTGAACATAAGATATTAACATTTATCAAATGTTACTACCACTTATGAACTATAAAAAATAAACTAACTCAACTATCTTTTGCTACTTTGTTGAATTCCTTTCAATTCAACATAGTAGTGAAGGATCATTTACTCCTATGAACTTTTGGACTAAGATTTCATTCTCAGAGTATCAAGGTTCAAGAATGAAATCATCTTCCAATTCTGTTTATAATTCCTCTGATAATGGACCTTATTGTCTAAAAGTTCTTGGAAATAAAAATGATGGTGAATTGAATAATGTATAAATGAGAAAAGACTCTACAAAGCATTAATTTAACATTGAAATTTTCAATTAAGTATAAAAAAATATTTAGACCATCAGCTACTTTTTTATTGTTCAATGTCATTGATATTATTAAGATATGTTTCTATATAAATGTGTACAGATTATTTTGAATAACACTAATAAGTAAATGTATTAAGTTTTTATGGTCTTTAATAAATAATCTGAATTCAGTTTTAATGATATAATGGCTTTGTTTTATGACATAGTATAGCATATAGCATAGAATATAAGTTTATAAATAAATATATTTACCTATACAGTAGAGCATCAATTATCTGACTCAATTGGGGACTCAGGTTGGTTGGATAACTGAAAAATTGGATAACCGAAAAGAAGGAAAAAAATACATTATTAGTATAGTATATTAGGATATTAGTATATCCCATGTAATTAGTTTATTAGTATATTGCTATTAAGCAACTTCGCATTGAATTTTCGTCAATGTTAAGCCTAACAAATTTTTTTTTAAATAATAATTGTCGCTATTGTATTATTAAAAATTATTTTTAAATTATTTTATTGCTCACGAAACAAACAACCCACTCATAATTAGAAAATTAAGTCTCGTTTAAATATTGGCCTCCCTTCAATGGTCAAGCCGTTGATGCCAGCTAAAACATGCAAATATTTAACAAAAATAATATTAAAGTAGCCAAGATATAGCCAAATATTGTAATGCCACATCACTAGCGGACATTTGAAATTAGCCGACTAGAACGATGGTTAACCGATGTGACAGTTAATCGGGGGTTGGATAATCAATGCTCTACTGTAATTTTGAGTAAATAAATAAAAACATAAAATTAAATAGTAGATTAAAATAAGTTCATAAAAATATTAATATTAGTATTGTATTGATATAGTCAATTCATATCATATAAAAGACTAAAAGTGGACTATAAAGCTAAAACACATAATATACTAATTTTTATTTATGAATTTTGAATTTTACCATTTTTGCAGTTATACAATTCTCTCAACCAGAGCTCCATTGCTTTTTCGTAATTTCCATTTAAGTATAGAGACATTATTCTATTCTTCTTATATGCTGGTGACTGAAACAATGTATAACTATGTTCTTGCATCAACCACTGAACTGTACAAAGTAAAGAAATAACTTCATTTTGAATACAAACAGCATTTTGAGAATTCATAACTTCATTATAGCATTCAACCACTTTCTGATAAAGAAAATTCCATATATGAAATAATCTATAACAAATAAATATGTAAATTAATTAATATATATGTATATAATTTAATAGAAAAGAAATAAATTGTACCTTTGATTTATGGCTAATTCAATTTTCAAATTATTTCTATCAGTAATACTTTTCTTGATTAAATAAGCATTAGAAACATAGGAACTATTTGACCATATTCTATTGTAATGGAGCCAACATCTAGATAAACTTAAATGAAAGGAACACATTTCTTTAAATATTCTCTCAGCATTAATTAGCAACTTCAATGAAATATGTAAAAACTTAATATGTAATAAGGTAACTTTAAAATCTGTGAGAAACATTTTTACTAATTTGTATATGAGTTTTAAAAAAGTTGATAAGAGATTTATATTGATATCAAAATATATAACACTGAAAAACTTTGGTATACTTGATTCAATAATTTTCAGGAAAATTTCATTTTGAATCTTGGCAGAGGATTCATCTAGACATAAAAATAACAATATATTATTAGTATTATACAGTAAGTTATAATAATTGTAATTATAATTAAACATTAATTGCACTAACATATAATTCAAACATATAAACTTTTTACATGAAAAAATAAATTGACAAAATCCTTCATTACAGATTTTTACATTATGATTTTTAATACATTTTTATTTAAAATTTTTCAATATAAAAAATTTTTAAATGAAGTTTTTCTACATTATTAATAGAGTAGCCTAACTGTATTATTATTTTATCTTATCTTAAAGTTAAAAGAATAGTAACTACCCAAAAAACACTAAAGTATTACTAAACATTAATATCTTAGTTCTATAATTTGTATATTAAACACATTTGTATATTATATACTGAACATGTGATTTGTTATAAAATGTTTATTCTGTTTCAATAAGAGTCATATATTTAAATCAATACTACTGAGGAAGAGGTGACAAAATATAGCTTACAGAATAGTTTCAATGAATTTAAGGAACATGTAATATGTTCCTGAAATAGATGAAATAGAAAATAAAGAAAGGAAATAGATGAAATTCAACAATTTGATCAATAGCAATAATAATAATAAAGACGATAATAACCAAACTAAAGAAACTGAATAAAGAAAAAAATCAGTGGAGCTGACAGATAAATCAAAATATTCAATAAAATGGATTAAAATGATCTTGAACTCAAAGATTTTATTAATTTGATAAAATTAGTCCTTTGGTTATCAGGAATTACAACTTCTACAGATAAAACATTTTCACATGTGAATTCACTGTGATCAAAAGAGAAGTCAAAATTAAATATTGATACCATTATAGAAATGCTGTTTTTCTTCTTAATTCTTTCTGCCACATAGGGGCACTAAGAGGACCTTTTCAGCAAACCCAACATGGGTTTGGTCAGGCCACAATGGGGCAACCAGAGGAGAGAGCTGGGGCTCAAAATATTCAGACTAACCATACTGTGAAAAATTCCTGCAGAGTTTCAATCCATCTGGTTAAATCCCCAGAATGTCATCTTAACCACTTACCATTCAGTCATACTGAAAGGAATGCTAATTATACAGAAAAAACTGATTTATGTGATAATTTTTATGATATAACTTCAAATGACCGGAACTTAAAAAAATAAGTTCCTCCGAAAAATATGCTTGGTTTGACCCTAAGAAATCTTCCACATCAACCTATTAAATTTGATATTGTATTGTAATAAAAATTTCACTTCTTTGTTATTAGATTTTTGAAAATAAAATTTTTAGAAATTTACATATTCTTTTTTTACTCCTCCAAATCAATATCACTAATAATGTATTAACAAATTGTTAATAATGCCTCTCTATTTGTTTCTTGAAACATTTCTCTACTAATAAATAAGTAGGCTGACTAATTTATTGATGCCAAAATAGGACAGAGCCAATTTTAATAAGAGATGTCCTGTATTTATCACCTGTGGCTCTCTGTCCTGTTTTGGCATCAATAAATTATAGTCAGCCCACTTATTTATTATTAGAGAAATGTTTCTGGATCTTAATATCTAGAAAGAATTGAAAATGATTTTCAAAAAGTGGTAACAACATCCAAATAGCATGATATATATATACATGTATCAAATGCCTTTTGTCTGAATTTTAGATAATCAATTAAACATTCAGTTCAAGCATAACCAACAACAAACTTATCACTATAACAGACATATACTGCCTGCATTTATTCAACAATTAAAAATTAGCAACAAGTAAAACACCAGTACAGGTAACCCCCGTATAACACGGCACTTCTGTAGCACGGATTCGCTCTAACACGGTTCGAGAATTGGTACCATCCCCCGTATAACACGGTAATTTTATAGCACAGATTCACTCTGACACGGTTCGAGAATTGGGTAAAACCCTCGTACAACAGGAAATGTAATAAATTTTTACATACTTAAGTAATAATAGTTCACGAAAATTATTATTTTCGTGAACTATTAGTACTTAAGTATGTAAATTTTCTCTTCTCGCCTTCTGTCGATACACGTGGTCCTTCTCGAAACTTGTTTCAATGTTGCCAGATCGCGACGCTTCTGCTTCTGATGTTGCCGAATGTTTTTCCCTTATTCCATACTTGCTTTATTCTTCATAAGTGCTTAGCACCATATAAGGAAATTTATAAAGACCTTTTAACTAGAAGCAAGCAATCTAAAATTACATACATTTTGCAAAAGGTAAAGCATGGATCTGAAGATAATGCAGAAAAATGCTCAGAGGATAAGGATAACTTGCCAAAAAGAAAACGCTCTCGGTTAATTAATAGTGTTTTTAGTGATGACGAAGAAAACATTGTTTAATTTATATTAATATGTATCACTTAAAAAAATTTTAATGAAGATATTTATCTTAATTATGAAAATATACTAGCATGTTTTTTAATTTTTGGAACCTAACCCTCCTTTTCGTATTAGTTCTTTGTTTCGTATAACACGGATTCGCATAACACGGCAATTTTTTGGAACGTAACTACCATGTTATACGGGGGTTACCTGTATGCATTTTGAAAACAAAATCACAATGTTGTCCTCTTTGGACAGCATTGTGTTTTAATTTTGGTTTCAACAGTTTTTTTAATTTTTCAACTTAGTTGGTTTTAATTTTTTAAGGCTGTTGATTTTTAACCGACAGCCATAAAACCTACCTAATTTTTACAATATTATATATAAAAACATGATGTATTATCCTATGTTTAACATAGATATGAACAATATTTTTCATAGAATCTTTTTCACAAATTTTCATAAAATACATTTCTTTCTTGATAAGCAAAAATTAACATGATTACAATATGAATGCTTAATTAGGCATGTAATTAAAATGTGTATGCTTATCAGAAGAGGACAGTTGTAAAAAAGGATACCCTAACAGAATTTTGTTTATCAAGAATGAAATATATTTTGTGAAAATATGTGGAAAAATTGTATGAAAAATATCATTCATATCTGTTAATCGGCCCACCAGTGACCAAGTGGTTCAGTTCCCTGAACACTAGAAGTTTGGTTGTGGGTTCATGCCTTACCCAGATGGGCTGGCCATGTGGAATTTTCCAGGTTTTCTCCACATCTGTAATGCCTGAATAGGGGCCAGTTACCCTTAGAAAACCTCCCAGAAGGCATTTCCCCTATGCAGATCACCCAAGTGTTGCATTGCCGTAACTTAAACAAACATATCTGTTAATCATAGGATAGTAGATCATGTTTTTATATGTAATATTGTAAAAAGGAAAATTGTAAACAATAGGCATTTTTTTAAACAGTGTTGTGTTGGTTAAGATGGTTGAAAAATTAAAACCAGTGAGGAGGACAACATTGTTTTTCTGTTATTGAAATGCATACTGGTGTTTCACTTGTTGCTAATTTTTAATTGTTGAATAAACATAGGCTACTATATGATAAGTCTGTTGTTGGTTGAACCAAATGTTTAATTAATTAGTAATAACATATCTTAATATATTCACATAAAAATAAATATCTAAAATCTCCTTAGAATCTAGAATTAGAATTTATATCATTAAAAAATAATAATACTTACTTAATGTGTGAATTAAAATAAATTTTATAGTCCTTAAAAATCCATCCACTGCAAAAGAACATAATAATTCCAATTCTTTAGTCCATATACAACTTGTAGATGAACATAAACTCCAGACTGATAAAAATGAGTTTATTGCTTCAATTAGCTTTTTTTCTTCCCAATCAACAGAAGTAGCATTCAAAATATTAGTTCTCTTTAAAGGTGATGATGATTTAGTTAAGTATTTTTTTAAATCACTTGTATCATTTAGAACATTATCAAACTGTGAACTTTTTGTTTCAAGTTGATTCGATGATGATTTTATTTGAACACTTTCACATGAATTTTTCTTTATGGAATTAGAGTATGATTTATTAGATGGCATCTGAAAAAAGTCTTTCTTAAAGTCTAATAGTTCTGAATCATACACTTCAAAAATTGGACAAATCATTTTACAACCATGCAATAAATATGACTGGATAATATTAAAGATACCAACAGAATAGCTTGGAACTTGAAGGCATATAACTGCATGACCATCAGATGCAAAAAATAATGGAAGACAATTATGACATGATACAGAAAATTTCTGTTTTAAACACTGTTCAGTTGAGGTAGATGTTAAAGAATTATCTTCATTGTTTGATTCTATATTTCTTTGTGAGGATCTAAATGATAATGATTATTAAATATTAAAATAATTCTGTGATTACTTAGCCATGTTACAGTCTGAATGTAATCTGGAAATAGTTACTTCATTTATTGAATTTGATTATTTGAGTTATTAGACTGTATTATATGTGACTGTAGTTAATTCATTAATATAATTACTTAAATATAACAATTTTTAGATAAAAATATATATATATANGGAATATTTATTATAAATTATAAGGAATCCTTACACAACAACAGACGGAATAAGAGAAAGATAATAAGAAGGGCCCTGATTTATAGAATCACCCTTAGCAGTAAGTAGAAGCAAACCACCAAGCCTTGAAACAACACAGATTGCACCCTCTCTTGTACAACATATTACAAATGCATCATCAGCAGTCCATACCATATCAGAAATCCAATGATTCCTATCAATTTTAAAACAATGTTATCATTAAGACAGTCCCAAAAGCAATACAAAAGATTACAAATGAATAACAGTTTCTTAAATAAGTTAATGTAAGTATAAACAATATACAGTGGGTGATCAGTTAATGAACAGATCGGATAAGGAACACTTTCGCGAAAGATTTTTATGTTCAGACAACGAACACATGATTGGATAACAAACACCCCACAGAACAAACACAAAAAGAAGTGACGTAAAATAATGAATACCGATTGGTTTTTCCCTTGTCTTCACGCAACAATTCGAAACTTTTCAGAGTGCGGGAGATAGCTGGTATATACCGATCGGATAGTATTCCTCCAAACTTTGAAATTCTCCCTTGTAATTCCAGCCTTTTATTTTTCTGACAAAACAATTCTGTATTCGTGACACTGTCGGGTAGGCACTCATTAAGTTTTGCGTCTGTTTTTCTTTTCGAAAGATGAGAGTATAATAGCAAAGGTAGAGAGTAGGCAGAAGATTCCTAATGTTACTGGACAATATGGTGTAAACAGGTCTACAGTAGGCCTCAGTTCAATCTTATTTAAGAAAAATGCTGTATAATCAAGAAGACTCCAGCAGCTAAAGGAGTAACAAAAAAATCACATCTGAGAAATAAAGAACATCGAAGAGTTCGTAATAGAACCTGAAACGGATCTAACACCAAGAAACTCGGCGAGATATATTTTCTTCTGAAAAAAGAAGATTAATGTGATTTCTGTTATTAAAGATCCTTTGAAGAAGTGGGAGGGTGTCAGAACAACAGTCTTAGAATGACATCCAAACCAGGTTGAGGTTTGGAGATTTCTACAATTGCAATGCTATTAATTACTTGTGAAAAAACCTGAAGAAGAGAGAAAAGCAATCAACATTAGACAGATTCTTTAACCCTTTCAAACGGAAAAAACTTGACTAATACATACATACATACATACACAGTCTTGCGTTTTTATTTTTATTATTACATATAGATAAACATAGTAAGAAAGTATATATTTTTTATTTTGGGGTCTCCAGAACGAATTAATTAAATTCCCATTAAAACCTATGGTAAATCGATAATTGGTTAATGAACAATTCAGATAGCGAACAAAGTCTTGGAACAGATTATGTTTGTTAACCGATCACCCACTGTATAATATTTTAATTTTATTTTGATATATCTTTTTAAAATCACATTTTTCAATTCTCAAAATCTAAACTGTGTGACAAATAACCATAAAGAATAATATAAAATAGGTAAGAAGGTATTAATAAATTACATCAATTATTATGAAAATATAATTATAACATTTATTGCATTACAATGATTTAACTACACTGCTTAAATTTCTTATATTTTCTTACTGATGATAACCATACACATTATTTGTTTATTTCTTTCCTGTTTAAATAAAGACTATTTCAGCATTTGTTAAAAACATATTGGAAATGTATTAAAATTAGTCTCATAAAATATATAAAAAATCAGAAACAATTATTTTTCATATAAAAAAACATATTCACACATCTGATATTACTGTAATAATTAAACTTATACAGAAAATTAATTATTAAAGAAATATCATATTATATCATATTAATAAAAGGTTTAACTTTCTAGAATTTTGATGTATCAATATATACAATAAATTAATAAAGTAATATTAATATTAAATAAAACTAAAAGATATTTTCAATTTTTGGAGGTTTTGCCACATATTTTATATTAAATATCTTTCATAAGTTAAATTTTACAATGTTAAATTGTATTCAGCATTATTATAGTAAAATTAAGCTGATCTTAATAACACAAAAGTTAATAAATTATTTATTCTTAATTTATATACAATATTTACTAATAAAATAATACTGAAGAAGTGATAAAAAGTTTATTTTTGAGGAATCTTGATGATTGGAAACTGGCCATGCTTATTTTTGTCCTGCTACAGATATTAAGAAACATTTAAATCTTAAACATTTATTTACTATGAATTCAAGGAAAAAGCATTTGAAACTTCTCTCCAATGTTACCTCATAAGTAAATTTTTTATTCAATCTTTATATTTTTAAACATTTACTTATTAAATATATATTGTTATTTAAGACTGGAAATATGTGATCATCTGTGATTTTCCACAATACCTTAAAAGCTTCAGATAAATAAAAAATTTGATGGAAAAATTTTATTTTAATTAGCAATTACTCAAATATTATATTCACTGTTAAATGTATATATACAATGAAAAAAAAGTTCTTCAATTTAGTAAATGTTTTAATTCAGGTCAATAAATGAACAGTTAAGAATATAATTACATGAATATAATACATGGTGTATAAAAATGTCTCATATTTCAAAAAGCCATATTTCTTTCTGATTTAAAATAAAGATGAGTAATATGTCATTCAATTCTGCAACTCTTGAATTTTTTTATTCTTTCAGATAAATTGTTTAAAAGGTCACCAATTTACAGATATGCAGAGAATGTATGCTTGTTAAAAAATTCACTGATGATGAAGGCTTTTCTTTATGTGAGTAGATAGTATTTTGACTTGGAAAGTGTAAATTGTCCAAAAATCAAAATACAATGTAAAATTTGTCCATATAAAGATGTTATAAATATTTGTATAGCCAAAAGTAATAATAGTTAACCTCAAAAAGAGAATATGATTTAAATATAATAGTATATTGATGGTCATTTGATACATTAGTCAACAAATGCATCAACTGGCTGAGGTTAAAATTTCAGGCCCGACATTTATCTGTATTGAGATATTCTGTGGCTACTGAAAATTTTTAGCAATCAATCTAAATAGATCTTTACAACAATAAAAATTTCCATATAATATGTGTTAGTTAATCTGTGTAAAAAGATGTTTGATTTAAGAATACATTTAGAGTTAAGTATTTTCTTCAGCCGTCTTCACTTTCAATTTTAAAGAGCATCATTGGTTATTTTTTATATTTATACAAATATCTCATATAAAAACAATAAATACAGTTTTCAAGTTCATATGATTCTAAAGAGTGTCAATTAATCAATACAAAACAGTGTCAATACAAAAAAATCTAAAGAGTGTCAATATAAAAACTTCTAATTAATAGAAGTTTTTGTATGTATTTATTCATTCTCATTCTAGCAGAATCCAAGAAAGAATGAAGGAAGTAGCCTAAACTTAGAAGTGAAATAATGAGTAAATGATTATTCATGTTTGTTTTTGATTCAAAATTTTAGTTAAGCACTCCTTGAAATAAAGTACTTTTGAAAAATTTCAAAAAGTCAATTAGTTGAAATTTCAACATTCAAGAATTTTTCATTCAATCTGTGTTATATTACAGATTTCAACCAACTGACTGTATTGCTATTAACTCTTTGATACATACTTATTTTAATTATCAAGGCCTAAACCTAATTTGAACTTCTTAGACTATTCCAAAGTTCTCAGGTGCTGTAAATTTCTATTAATTGACTTTCTGATTACTGGGCTATTATATTTCTTTATCATTAAATGTATTAATATGTTAACATAGAAAACTAAACAAAAACTTTTTCAAATGTTTAAAAAAAAACTTGAATTTTAATAGCTATGAAATAAAGCATCAAGCTTTATTTCATTTATATTTCCTTTCAAATTTAAATGACATGTTGTAAGAACAAAAAAATTATAAAAAACAATGTTTATTTTTAATATAAATCTATTTTTTGTATAAATTCAATGAATAATATCAAACTCAATTTTTTTCATTATTAACTAATAATTAGATATTAATATATTCAAATTAAGCTGGTATTAGTTAAACAATTCAAGAATAAAATGGAGCATACTCCCTAAACTGAAATCTCCCAACTTAAATGATTTATTACTGTTTTTCAATAAGAATATAAATTAAACAATACTTTTAAATACTAACATCAAAAACAGCATAAAATGTTAATCTTTACTTTTTTGTTTTATATGTGTCTATATTATATGAAAAATGTTTAAAGGTATAAGGAAATCAATATTTTATATTGTTTCTTTTCTTAGTTCTTTGTTAATGAATTATTTTGGATCAGAAAATGAAAACACTAATTCAGAAAATATTTATATGTAAATAAAGTACTAACTTCTTTATACCTTTAATTGTTTCTTAGATATTTTAATATATTTATAAATGAAATATGTATGCTGTAATATCATATATATTGAGAATTATTGACCATTGCTTATTTTTTGTCCATTATTGCCCATTGTCTCCATTGTAGTAATTCATAATTAAAGTGTGAAATTCATGTTATTGTTTTTATTTTTATTCATAACATGAATAATGTGTAATAATAAGTTCATTCAAATTTTGTTTAGAATTTTCATGAGAAACAATTGCTTCCCATTTAAGGACTTATTGATTTAGTATATAGATAATACTTTAATCATTTATAAATTCAACATATTTATAAAAATGTTTAATAAAATCTATACAAATATATTTTGCAATTTGATATCAATAAATATATTAAAAGATGGCAATTAAATATTGTAAGATTAAGTTCTGAAAAACTTAAAAGTTTTTCAGAACTAAAAAAGTTTTGATAAATGTATTTTAGAAAATGAAGAAACAATTTATGAGAGAAAAATAATTATGTTTAACTTATTAAATAAAATTATTTAAATTTTATTTAATATTAATAGTTACAAAATATATTATTGTAATTAACATTAAATTTATAATGCATAAAACACTAACCTTGAATTTCTGATGGGATGTGATGCTCCACATCCTTGCAAATCTACACAAACTGTACTTTGAGAAAATGGTGAGAAAAATAATAAGTATGTACAATGTGTTTGAAGCTGATTTACAGCAATAGCTATAACTCTTCCATCACGAGAGAATTTTGATATGTAGCTTCCTCTCTGACGTAATGTTTCACATGAATTATTTATATTTTTTATAGGAATTTTTGTATTAATCCATTTGGCATCTAAACAAAAACATTGATGAATTGATTCAGAAAATAGTTTCTGTACAAAGCATGTAGAAATACAGATATGATTTTCTAAATTAAATATAAAATTGATTAAACTGTCTTTTTTAATAAAATGATCATATAAAAATACTGAATCAATGGATGCTTCTCGATACTCTGTTTTTGGTAATATGATAGATTGGCACTTTTCAATGAAATACCAAGAACCAATAAGATAGCATTTTTTATCTTTAACTTCTGGAGAATGATTGATACTTTTCTGCCAAAAATATATATTTGAATATCCATATATAATAATTATATTATTTCCATCAGATGAAACAAAGAAGTGTAAAGGCACTGAAAAAATAATTAAATATAAACATTTTTTAATAAAGAAAAGAAACTATAATAAATTTACACTAACCTTTATTTGGTAAAGGCAAATTTATATCTTGTGCAATTTCAATAAAATATATTTTATCTGAATCTTTATGCCAAAGAAAAATATTTCCATTATTTATTAAACCTGCCAAATAGATACCTAAAACAGTAATAATATAAAAAATAAATTAATATAATTATCATATTTTGATATATAACTAGTATAATTAATTTGGATTAGTTTTTGAGAATCTGGTTTTATTTAGATAAAATGTCTTAGGTTTTTGTGGAGAACTGAAATCCGCCTACACTTATATTTAGGGGTATCAATAATGGTGCATACTGTATACATCATGAGTGAACAAGAGGTACTATACATATGTGCATTTTGCAAAGAATTAAAATTTGTTTTCTTGTTAAAAAAAATGTTCTTATCTGTGTTTTTCAAGACTTTATTTGGTGAATAAATATCACAAACTCAAGTATATGAACAAACAGAAAAATTTAAATTTAGTAGAGAAAAAGTGGAAAATGAACCTCATGCACATTGACTATCAACAAGTGTAGCTTCATATGACATCTAGCAAATTATAACCCTCATTCTTGCAAACCAAACATATAAGCTCATTAATTTAATGTCCCTGTAGTTTTTGCAATCATGAATGTCTCCTTTCCCTTTATAAATTGGACCAATGTGCATTCTCTTCCATTCCATCTTGCCATTCTCCAGAATGCTGTTAAAATAAAAAATTCAATTCCTGCATCTTCCAAACATTTCCATACCCTGATAGTTATGTTATCTGGTACAACAATTTTACATGATTTCATCGCTACTACTACTACTACCACTACAACCCTATTTTTGTTCTGAGCCTATCAGGCTCACAAGTCAGAACAAAAATAGGGTTGTAGTGGTAGTAGTAGTGGTAGCGATGAAATCATGTTACAGTAGTGGTAGTAGTAGTGGTAGCGATGAAATCACACAGGTAGTTCATCTTCCAAGTTTCTAGATTCTCCTCATTCATCAACTTCTCAAACTACTGGTTCCATCGTTCCAAGATCTTGCTGTCCTCAAAAAGTAGACTACATATTCTGCCCTAATAGTATTTACTTGATATATGTCTTTGTTATTTCTATTATTTTGTTTTGTTAGGAGAATATCTGTGACAGCTATGTGACTAAAAAAACCTAGTAACAAGCAATAAAAATTATTTTTCTAGTTATTCAATATATTCCAGTGAGAAATGTAGCTGAAAATTCTGTACTAATAAAAATATAGTAGAAATTTATTATAAATTACAAATTATAAAATAATTTGAAATTTTAATATTAATTTTAATTCTTCATTTTGATTAAATAATTGCTTTTGTACTTTAGCAAGTATCAATAATTTTTCTGAAAATAAATTGACATATACTTTATAATTATATAATTTAGTTTAAAAAATAATTATAATTTAAGTTAGACAACCATTAATTTACTTCCATAAAAAAATGATTAATAATAACTAAAAGACAAAACAATTTAATCAAAATTATAAAGAAAAATTAATATTAAAATTTTAATTTTGTCATTTTTGAACACCTTATAGTTCATACACATGAACACTAGGCAATCTTCATTTTAAATTTATTCAATTTTAAAATGAAGATTGCCTAGTGTTTGTATGTATGAACTATATGGTGTTCAAAAACGACAAAAATAATCACCGACACAGTTTCAAGAAAGTAAAATTAAAATATTTTATTATTTAATTTATTTTGTATTCCAAAAAACCATTTTATATTGAACTGAGAACATAACTTATTATATAGAATCAAATAAAAATTGAAAAAATGAAATAGAACAATACGAGGGCTGTTCGAAAAGTTCGCGGCCTTGCCTATATGCGGCGCTGCAATCAATTTAATTTTTGGCGGGAATAATTCAGCCATCCTTGCTAAAGATACAATATCAATTTCTGCTTGATTTGTCTTAAAGTTTTGCCACGACAGCTTAGCAGATAGTCAATGTGCACATGCTTTGTCAAAAATGGAGAAGACAGAGACTCATGCGGTCATAAAATACCTGACGAAAAAAGGGTTGACCGCATCTCAAATCAAAGCTGACATGGATGAAATTTTGGGAGAGTCTGCTCCTTCGTAAACCACTGTGAAAAAATGGACAGCCTTTTTTAAATCTGGCAGAGAGAGTGTGAAACATGACCCTCGCAGCGAACGACCGTCAACTGCTGTCACTGAAAAAAATATCGACAAAGTTTACGATTTGGTGTTAGCAGATCGCCGTTTGAAAACGCGTGAGATAGCTGAGACAACAGGCATCTCTGTCGACCGAGTGCACCACATCTAACCGAAAATTTGGGTATGACGAAGGTCTCAGCAAGTTGGGTGCCGCATCTGCTGACCGCTGAGCAAAGACGTGTTCGCACTTTGATGTCAAAGAAGTGTTTGGACTTCTACAAGAAAAACCCACGGGATTTCTTGCGTCGGTTTGTGACTACTGACGAAACGTGGATCCATTACTACACTCCTGAAACAAAAGAACAGTCGAAGCAATGGAAACACCCCAGTTCGCCACCACCAAAGAAGGCAAAAACAGTTCCATCAGCGGGGAAAGTGATGGCCTCGGTTTTTTGGGGATGCTAAAGGAATCATCTTTATTGACTACCTAGAAAGAGGAAAGACCATCAATGCTGTCTATTACTGTATACTTTTGGAAAAACTGAAGAAAGAAATCGAAGAGGCCACACTTGAAGAAGAAGGTTCTGTTTCACCACGATAATGCCAGAATCACTGAACAAAAAATAAACGAACTTAGCTTCCAATTAGTTCCACATTCACCGTACTCACCTGATTTGGCCCCCAGTGACTTCCACCTTTTTCCAAATTTAAAATAATTCTTGGTTGGAAAGAGATTCCACTCAAATGACAAAGTCATCTCTGAAGTAAACGAGTATTTTGCACACCTTGACAAATCGGCCTATTGTAATGGCATAAAAAAGCTAGAACATCGCTGGAATAAGTGCATTGCTAACAAAGGAGACTACATTGAAAAATAAAAAAGTTTTAACATTATTTTGTTTGTTGTTCTATTTGAAGCCGCGAACTTTCCGAACAGCCCTTGTATCATTTGTAAATTTAATTAAATTTAATCTAAATGTATCATTTAAATGACTTTATATAAATTAAATAGTAAAATTCAAAAATTTTTTAAAACAAAAGAATGACAAGCAAACATATTTGTCACTTTTTACTGACAGAAGAACAGGCCAGACCATTCTCAATTTCTTTCTGGCATATACGAAGGTCATTCTAAAAGTAAAGAATGTTTGTTTCTTTAGATATTTTTATTTAAGATAATGAAACAAAACTTATTTTACAACATATATGCATGGGTGTAGCCAGAGTTTTGTTATGGGGGCCTAGTAGAGGCCAACCTGACACAAAATTGAATTATTTCAAATTATTGTTCATTAAAATGAAAATTCCATAAGAATCGACAATAACTTAACACACACACAAAATATGAAACTTCCTTTAATCATAACATTGGGCACAGGGAGCCGTTGACCTGTTTTTGTTTTTTTTTTTTGTTTTTTTTTTAGGATTCAGAATTTTCAGCTTTAATCTTTTATTTCTTTTTGCAAATTGGCTCAACACTTTTTCGGCTGTGATTTTCTGGGGTGGGCACCAGGTTAACTGGGGGCCGTGCCCACCCAGGCCTCCCTCGCTACGCCCATGCACATATGATACTTTAGCTATTTTTCTACATAGTTGCCATACAAATTTAAACATTTGTCATAGCATATCACCAGCTTTTCTATGCCTTCTGAGCACTCAGTTACCACCAAGTTCTTAAACCAGTTCTTAACGGCCTCTTTCAGTTTGTTATCATTTCTATAGTGATTCCCGGCCAGATTCAATTTTGGAAAAAAGATGGTAATCACTCAGATCCAAGTCAGAGCTATAAAAAAGATGCTCAAAAACTTCCCACTTAAACTGCTGAAGCAAGTTCTTTGTCAACGCAGCAACATGTGAACATGCATTATCTTGAAGAAACACAATGCCTCTGGACAACAATCCCCACCATTTGTTTTGAAATGAAGTTTCATTCATCACATTACCATAACCTCGGTTATCTGTCTGTAAATTTCAATAGGGCAGACTTTTTTCTCATTCAAAAAGCATATTACACTACAAACCTCACACTTGGCAGGATCATTAAAGTCGCACTATAAACAGTAAACGATTGTTGCGACTCTCTGTTATCATCAGACTGGTGTGAAAAATTGGGAAGGTCCATGAACAGCAGTGGGTGGCGGGAGAACTGTGAGGTTCGTCAGATCAAAACATTCTTTTCTTTTAGTATGACCCTCATATAATTTATTCATTCTCATATCTAGATGGTTGATGTCATAAATTAATATTTTTATAAAGCAATAAAACAGCATATACAAGGTAATTCAAAACACTTGTTATAAAACCAGATCAGCTAATGGTCTGTGTTTTAAACCCCCCAAACAAAGACTACTTGTGATGTATTTATTATTTATATTTTTATTTTTACACTTAATTGGTCAGACATTGTACTCCACCTCCCAATAACAAAAAAAAATGATCCCCAATAAAATGATTACAAAATATAAAAGATATAACAGACATAAAAAAAAAATTATAAATAAAGTAAAACAAAGGAAATTGCTTTTAGCCCTTGATTTAAACAAATTGATTAAAAACCTACTACTGTGAGGTAGGAATAAGGACTTATCACACCAGTGATAATAAGCACAAACACTCAAAATATCAATGGGATACATTTAATAAAACGAGAATGGGTGTACATTACAAACTATTAAATTAATAATTGACATGAAATAACCAAAATGCATTTCGGACTATCGGAATAGTCCCTCTTCAGTTGGTATACATATATAAAAAA